GAAAAACAGCTGAAACTTATTATGTAACGGGGGTCAATCGAACGAGCAACAGCCACTATGAGGAAAATGTGTTTAAGACGATTAAACTTCCTAAAAGACGAACGATTCTTTCCAAGTATTTATAAGAGCACTTTCCACGGCTAGTTTAAATATACAGTTTTGCATTTACCGTGTTACACGTGTAACACAATTATTTTGAACCTATAAGTCGATAGTATCTATATCCTACAAACAAGTATCTCTTAACCTAATATAAGTGTATTCCTTAAGGGCGCTTAAAGAATCTAGAAAGTGACAGAAAAAAAAATAAAATAAAATATAGTTCGCAAGAACGCAACGTGTTCTTACGTGGAAATGAGTATAGATATAAAGGGAAAATAATAAAATGGGCGTGTTGTACCTGTCCCTCGACATTCCTTGTCCATTCAACATGGGACCGAAAGCTGCCAGCGATGTGTTTAGGGACTCTAGGGACGCTCTGATTTCAGAATAAAATTTGGTATGATTATGGATAACGAGTTTCATGACATGCGCATGCTGTTTGATTTAATTTCGTGCAGTTTTTCATCCCTCCCCTCCCTCTCACTCTTTCTCCCATTTTCTCTCGTTACGGAATGTTCTTTCAAGAAGTGTGCACGCGCTTGGGAGACCGTAACACGTTTTTAGATGCAAGTGCGTGCAGACACGTGTGCTCTTGTACGTGGTTAAGACACGGGAGAAACATCTTAAGGTCGCGTTGATGATCTACTTGGCAAGAAGGTAACTCCTGGTAGATAGGTAGAACCGAATCATTGTTCGCACAGTACAATGAGCGTGGTATCCCGCTAAACGCGATGAGGAAATCCATTGTAAATCGGAAACACTGGGCTATCACTGTTTCACAAACAACGTACTTTTATTTTTCCGCGGTCTACGGTGATCGATGTAGGCCAATCGATAACAACGACCGAACACTATTTCTAGTTGTCTATCCACGCGTCGAACGACTTTCTCGTTTGAAAATAAAACACGAACGTAAACAGAAAGTATGTAACACTTATGATGAATATGCTATATCATCTAATTATCATCTAATTAACGGAAACCACAGTTTTGATGCAATAAACGTACAAACAAGAAACACGAACATATAACGTAAAAATTAATGATACCGATCAACTACAGATAATTCAATCATTTTGTTTTTTACCAGAAACAGACTGTTTCAAGTCTACTACAGAAGTTTAGAATATATCAGTTCATTGTACTGTTCGTCTTTATGCTGAACAGAGGGTTAGATTGTCCCAATTCGTCCCGTATTAGTAACGCAAACGGCACCCAATTCGTAGTAAATACACACGTATCGTCAAAGAATCGTTCATCCCAAGTACACGTCAATGAACAACATGCTTTATCACTATGTAACTCTAGTAAACTGTCTACGAGCAAGAAAACGATGTGAACAAGCGATTGATTCCTGTTTTGCCGGTCCAACCGATCACACAAACATTAAAGCTGGACATTCGTACTAGAATCAACCAGAAATAAGAAAACGAAAAGACAATAAGGAAACAGATCGAAATAGCTTGCTGTGAGAATCATGATATGGAGAACGGAAGACTGATTAATACGGTAGTTACGGATTTGGTTCTCGTTGGCTCCATTTTAGAACGTTTCGTGACGCCTTCATAACGGTAACGTAATTGTGCTGTTATGCGCTCATTATGCGCACGATTACGTAACGCGACACATTATGCCGCTCATTGGGAAATATAGACTAATAACCTTTTTCATCATCCCTATAAGGAAGCTATCGCTACAAACAATAGATTTAGTGCGAAATTGTGACTTCATCGAATATAATTAGACCAGAAAATCGACGCTGACCGGACGATGAT